TCTGTCCGATTTAGAAAATCTTTTTCCTACACCTATATCTTGTAAGTTACTGCTAATCTTTTCTTCTAATAGTTTCAGGGTTTCCAGTTTCACATTGAGGTCTTTGATCCATTTGGAGTTGACTTTTGTGCAAGGTGAACACATCTTGTGCCTCACTTTCTAAAAAGCTGCAGAAAGATTCATTATCAGAGTCCTCATAAAAACCATTGGCCGGTTCTTCACTGATATCTGACCTGAATTTAGGTTTCATGTTTGCAAAATTATCAGAGGCAAAGCTGTCACAACTGTCATCAGAGGATGACCAGTTTTCCATAGAAATCAACTTTGCAATTTTTAAATTTTCCTTTATATTTCCCAATTTTCATTTAATAGTATGTTGTTTATTTCCATGGGTTCATTTTGTTTTGTTTTCTCTAGTTTCTATTACTGTTCATGTCCAGCTTTATTCTTTTGTGGCTGGATAGAATAAGGATATTTTTCAACTTCTCTATATTTTTTGAAATTTGCTTTGTATCCCAATATTTAGTCAGTTTTGAAGAAATTTTCAAGAGCTGCTGAGGCTAAACTGTGTCCTTTAGTGTACCGGTGCAATGTTCTCTAAATATCTGTTAGGTTCATTTGATATATGGTGTCTTTTCATGATGGCCTGCCTATTGGTGACAATGGGGTATTAAGGCCACCCACTGCAACTATGTTGTGATTAATTTGTAGTTTTAGACCCGTAGTATTTTTTGTTAAAATTGGGTACCCTTATATTTGGTGTGATTTTGGTTAGCTTGTAATATTTTCCTAGTAGTCTTTTCGTGTAAGTAGTAAGAAATGTCCCTCCTTATCTCTTACTAGTTTTGGGTTAAAGTCAGTTTTGTCAGAGATTAGACTAACTAGGCCTGCTTGTTCTTGGTTCCATTTGCTTGTAATAACTTATTCCATTTTTCTACCCTAAGAGAGTGTCTATTATTGATGGTCTGATGAGTTTTGTAGATTGATTTTATAACCTGCCACTATACTGAAAGTGTTGATCAGTTCTTGGAGGCGCACGCCTTTAATCCCAGCACTTGGGAGACTGAGGCAGGTGGATCTCTGTGAGTTCAAGGCCAGCCTGGTCCACATACTGAGTTCCAGGACAGCTGGGGCTACAGAGAGACCCTGTCTCAAAAAGACAAAAAAGAAAAGATGGATTCCATTTTCTAATCCAATCTGTTAGTCTGTGTCTGTTTATTGGTGGAAATGAGGCTATAATCATTCATAACTTATTAAAAGGATTCCTAGACATTTTGTTAATTTCATGATGTTTTCTTAGATCACTTTTGATTATCTATCCTGACATTACTTATTTTTCCCTGTGACATGTTGGATGAGTTTATCCCTCAGTTCAGATTGAAGTATTTCTTCTAGTATCCTCTGTAGAGCTGTTGAGCTCTAAATTCCTTTATGTTTTTATCATGCAAAGTTTTTCTTTCTCCTTCAGTTTTAGTGGATAATTTTGCTGAGAGTAATAGTTTGAGGTGATAGTTGAGGCCTTTCATGACTTGAAATATATCTTTCCAATCCCTTCTGGCTTTAAAAACTTCTGTTGACCAATCAGACATTATGCTGATGGGCTTGCCATTGATAATGACTTGAGCCTTCTCTCTTTCAGCTTTCAATATCTTTTCTTTATTCTTTGTTTTTAATATTTAGGTATAATATTCCATGGGGAATCTTTTTCTCGTCCTGTTTATTTGGAGTTCTATAGGCATTTTGTACCTGGATGGGCATCTCTTTATCTAGCTTTGGGAAATTTTCTGCTATAATTCTACTGAAGATACTTTCTATGCTTTCATTCTGGTAAACTTCTTCTATGTCCATAATTCAAAAGTTAGATCTTTTTGTGGAGTCTCCAAACTCTCTCACGATCCTTTCATATTTTTAAAATGTCTAACTTTTATTGAGTGATCCAAATCTTCTCCTTCATCTTCTGTATAGTTACTTTTGCTGTGATAAAATACCATGATCAAGGCAACTTATATAAAGAATAGTTTATTTGGTTTATGGTTACAGAGGGATAAGAATCCATCATGGTGAAAGGCACGGCGGGACACAGCTAGAGAAAAAGGCTGGGTGCTTACATCTTCAAACACGTGCAAGGGGAAGCAGGGAAAGACATCTGGAGATGGGGCAAGGCTATGAACTCCCAAAGCCTGAGTGCTCCCTGATGTACTTCCTCCAGCAACGCCGCACATCCTAGGGATTCCATGACCCTCCAAACAGCGTCACCAACTGACCAAGTGTTCAGATATTAAAGCCTAGTGGGAGATCCTTCTCATTCAAATCATCAAATTTTCTATCCCCAACTCTGGCTTCAACATGGTCCCTTCTGTTAGTGAGCCTTTCCACTGAGTATTTATTTGGCTTGAGTTTTGGCATCATTTCAACATTTTCAGCATCATTCAAGCTGGTTTTCTTCAGTACTTTGAACTCTCTATGATTTCATTCATCTCTTTCTCTTGTCTTCTGAGTTGTTTGACCAGAACTGTAATCACTCTTTTAAATTTTCTGTCTGGAAATTCTTTCAGGTCATGTTTATTAGTATGAATTACTATGGGATTTGTATATTTTTGAGGAGACATATTATTTTAGGGTATGTGTTATTTTATTTCTATGTGGGATTTGTGCATGTGGAGTTTGTTGAATGAGCTTTCTTTCCTTTTTGTTCAGGGCACCATTCTTTCAGCAGAGGTGTTTATAATGTTCAGGAGTGGTTAACTCATGGTAGGGTTGGAATGCCAATTTCTGTTAGTTTTATCTTAGGTCTTCTGCTTGTTATCTACAGTCTGATGCCTGCTGAGACCTGATCTAGGAACTTGGAACAGTTTTCCCAAGGCTGGATGGAACAATTGGAGGATTGCAGTCAGGGCTCTGGTGAATCCTGAACGAAGGGAGGGGACAGGAGCTCCTGACAGTTTTCAGGTCCCTGATAGGTACTGGACCAGGATCTGGTGAATTCCCAAAGAGAGGGAGAGGAGCTAGGAGGAAGTGGATGTCCCTGCAAAGTAGGTCTTTGGGGTAATTACAGGGCCTATCTCATTAGCAAATGTTTATTAACATTTGAACATGATATGTATTTTATAATAATTTTATAAATTTGATAGCAATGCATTGCCTTGTTCCTACAGTTGTTAGCCCTAGACTACTTCAACTTCATTTTCTGATAGTTTATTCTTAAGGTAGATTGGTACTTGAGGTTCCTGACTCATCTTTATGCTATTCCTGAGAGGGCTGTTATTGTATCAATGAGACAAGTAACTTTTAAATATGTTTTAATTCTGGATCATGGGGTTTTGACATAGATTCCTGAGCCATTTTTCACATGGACTGTAGAGATTACCTGATTCCATCTTCACGTTTTATGGTTGAGATGAAGAAACTGGGGAACTCCCATTAACTGAAAGCAGCACAAGGCTTGGCACCCAGGGCTTGTCCCGGGAAAAAGATTAAGTCTAATATTAGTGCTCTGTGTTCCATCCACATGCCACTTCTTGAGTCCCTCTTATCTCTGCTCCCATGTGTGTAATAGCCACTGGATGCACTTCTTTTGTGCGAAGTTCTCTCCTTCCTGCGAAGTCCATAGCCACATACTATAAAATAGGGTTAATCAGAACGCACATCTGGCTTTTAGAATACTCTGTCTTGTCAACAATATAAAATCTAAATTTTGAATTATTAGTTTCAAGGCCAAACATAATCCAATAGGAATTTCATAAAATTTTATGTGTAATTATATAATCTTATAAGTCAGCTTAAAGAAAAGAGCTGGCCAATGTGGCCCATTTCTGTTATCCCTGAATTCAGGAGTCTGAGGCAGGAGTATCAGAAGAGCAAGTCCAAACTCCAAACATAGTGAGATCTTATTTCAAAACAAATAATCAAACAATAACAAGTTAAGTATTAAGCTCTTTAGAGATATTTTCTCTGAAAATAAATCAGATTCATTATATCCTGAAAACTGGAACTATAAGGTATCTAAGGTTAAAAGTTGAATTATAGAAGCATTAGACTTAAAGTAGAAGGTATCTTTGTAATTGAAAGCTCAATTCCAATGGGCAAACTAATGCTTAATTTCTTTAAATTACTTTATGATTAGTAGTATAAAATGAAAAATAAGTATAATCCACATCCTTGAATCATTGTATGAAATTGCACAATGAGTGTTAAGTATGACCCTCTCAAGCTGCCTGCACATATTTTTCAGAGCAACAGCCTCAGCATGGACTACATATAACCAATCAAGTGTATGCTTGTCGCTGCGCCAATGGAATTACTTTAAATAGTTTAGGAGAGTAAGAATTTGCACATCATTGAGACACTGCCAATTTTGATATTTTAGCAAATGAGCTGAGACCCCCAAATGGTGTTCTCTCCATCTCACATTGGCGTGAGGAAGGCACGTGTAGCCGAGCCACATAGCAGCAACAGAAATGGAGAGGACAGCTAGAGTGACACATACTTTTCAACATGAAGGACACTGTGAACATGGGTTCCTTGGACTAGTTAGTCCTGAAGGAAATGGAGACGAAGCATTGGCATGTTCCATTGATTTCTTCAAAGCCTCAACCCGAAACAAACTAATCATTTCCATTATCTTACTGAAATTAGTAAATAATTATTTTTTTCTGCTAAAACATGTTAATGCATAGGAAAAAGTGGAATTAAAACTGTGTAATCTGGTCATTTCAAGCACATGGTTTATATCACTTGAATAAAAAACAATTCAATAAAGGATTCTGCAATTAAAATTCACTGCCTTACATATGTAGAATACAGAGAGTAATGATAAACGTTTGCAGTTTGTTAACGTGTAGGATGAGGTAGCAGACATCTCCATTTTTAGGAGATCTTTACAATGAGGGAATGTGAACTTTTTTTTTATTCTGGATCTGGAATGCTATGGTTTGTGCCCTGATTAAAATGGAGGAAAAAGGCTTCTGATGCTTTCCACCCCAAGAATACGTGATGCATTCCTATTTTGATGTTTTTATTCTACTTATCATTTTCTTCAGAGCCTGGTGGACCCGCTTATTGCGCAGGGTGTAGATGACAGGGTTCAGCAGGGGTGTCACCACAGTGTTGACAAGAGCAGCCTCTCTGTTGGAGTCCAGCCTGCTCCTTTGATTAGGTTTCACATATATAAAGAAACAGCTGCTGTACATCAGAGAGAGGACTAAGGTGGGAGGAGCAGGTGGAGAAAGCTTTCTGTCTCTCCTTGGCTGTTGGGAGATTCACAATTGTGATGACTATGTTGCTGTATGCAAAGATAGCTACAACAAGCGATGTGAGAAGGAAAGACAAAGCAAAACAGAAGGCCAGCATTTCAGCAGATCTGGTGTCAGAACAGGACAAGTGGATCAGTGGGCCAGGGTCACTGAAGAAGTGAGGGATGACACGGGGGCCACAGAAGGATAAGTGGGACACCTTCACCACTAGCCCAGTGATGAGGGTGAAGCTCATAGCAAAGCAGGCCATGACCAGGAGGAAGCAAGTCCTCAGGTTCATGATGGTGAAGTAATGCAGAGGCTTGCAGATGGCCACATACCCATCCAGTGACATCACAGCTATGAGGAGGAGGCCTGCTGCCCCAAGAAACAGAAAAGCAAAGGCTTGTATGAAACAGGCAGCAAAGGAAGTTGTTTGTTGACCTAAAAGAAATATAACCAGTAACTTCGGAATAACAGCACTCGTGAAACAACACTCCATAAAGGAGAAAATACTGAGGAGAAAGAACATGGGTGTCTGGAGACGGGCATCAGCACAGACAAGGGCAACAATGACTGCGTTTCCCATGGTGGAGGCCAGGTATGCCAGCAGGTGCACGGAGGAGAGAACCTCCCCCAGGTGCTGGACAGCAGGAAAGCCCTCTAGGGTGAGCTCCTGGACAGCTACCCCATTCCCCACTTCCACAGTCATAGCCTTCCCAGAGGCCTTAACCTGTAGTAGAGAGATCACAAAGAGCACTAAAGATCTGGGGGTACACACAAGTAAGCCATTCAGCTGCTGCCTCCAGTTGTGCTAAAAATAAAATAAAATGAAGTGTATTATTCCTTTTGCATTTGATGGCACTGGTACCTGGGTGTTGCTAAGCCTAACTATAATACCATGGTTATTGGTCCAGATGTCATCACCATCACTGTCATCACCACCATTATCACTACCACTAACACTATACCGGTCAACTAACTTTAGTATTTCTCTCCCCGGCTACACTATCGTGTTAAGTGGTTTCAATCCCTGTTCCTCCAGGAGGAGGAATCAAAATTTTCAGCGACTCAGAGAGGTTGAGTGGCAGCAGTGGTATCACAGCTTGAACTCTAGCCATGCTTGTCTGAGTCCAAATTCATGCTGTTTTCCAATATTGTGAGAAAGTATTTTTAAAATCTTTGTTACATTTTCATTTAATGGTGTGCGTGTGTGTGTGTGTGTGTGTGTGTGTGTGTGTGCGTGCGTGCATGCATGTGTGTAAGTAGGTCAGATGAAAAATTACAAGATGAGTTCTCTCTTTCCACCATAGAGGTCCTGGAGATTGAACTTGGGTCATTGGTCTTGGTGGCAAGTGACATTTTACCCATTGATCCAATGTTCTTTTCTTTTTTTATTGACCCGATATTTTTAATAGGAGAAAATGTCCAATTGACAATGTCTCAAACCTATATGGTAGTTACACTCTATTGATCTTGTATTTCTCATCCTTCACGTATTAGTGAAGACACATGGCAGAGCTAAGGACAACGAGTCTCTTAGACCTGAGCTGTTTTAGCACAACCACCTTACAGAAGCAGGCCGAGACAACAGACACTAGGGACTTCACCACTATAGTGTATGTGCTGTAAATCGAAGACTTAGCTTTAGTTTTCTGGGCTGCATCCTAGCATGCAACAATCTGAGAGTGACAGTCTTTCAAAGCACTAATGTACTTAGGAAGGATGTTTAGGGATCATGGTACCATCCCTTCACTCATAGCAATGGTCCCAAACTTTCTTCTCTCTCTTGTCTCTTCATTAGATCGTTCTGTGATGGCAGTTGTAGAGTCTCAGTACCAAGTTGCTGGCAGCAGAGTAGAGTGTGTGTCTCTCTCCCACTGTCATGGGCAAGATCCCTGAGTGCACTCCTCTCCTCACTTACCTCTGAGCCCTAGGACCTGCAGGGCAGCCTGTGAAGTCTTCTGTCACACTGCTCATCGTTAGGGGTACATCTGACCTTTCAGCTGCCCAGCTTTCTCCTTTTTGATCTTCTATAACTGAGTGCAGAAACATTTATGTTGGATTGTACCATAGTTATAATCTCCAAAATCACAGGCCTAAAATATCTTTGGTGATTTCCCCACAAGAATTTGGTCATAAGCAGGATGCTCCTAGCTAGGGAACAGAGTACTCCCAAAGCTTGTTATTAATGAAAGGAATAGATCAAAAATATTGTGCACAACTGTCCCCACAGAGACAACTAATTGGTTACTTTTGATAGCAAGTGTTATTGGTCCAATATTGTTTATCTTTCCTCTGTCTGGGGTGACCTGTGGTACATGTTGTCCTTTGCCAAGACTTTCAGTTTAATTTCCCGAGGATTTCTAAATAGCAAGTTTGAGATTCCTATGTGAGGTCAAAGTACAGGCTGAAATTTTTTACAGGTGATGTGTGCTGTGCACTGAGGCCAGAGTAATAAAGTCAAACACAAACATTTGTTCATAAAAACCGGATCTGGCACATGGTTTTTGTTAGACTTATGGTGCAGACACTAGTGTCTGCAGAGGGAGACAAAGGAACATCTTTATCCACCTACATGATAATATTTATTTTATCCTTATCAGTGCATAATTACTGAGTAAATTAATACATTAAAAGTTAACATTTTAACATATCCTTATGTGGGCACCAGTCACTGGTGTTTTTATCAGCAGAGTAATTTTGTGGTTGTCCCAACCTCCTTGAAGAGGGAAGTGAATTCTTCCTTTACAGGGACATAAAGGGAAGGCCAGGAGCCTTCTGGCATCTCAAACCTGCTTGACTCCTTTACTTATTTTTACATGACCTGATACATAATAACTGTCTTTACAGCATACAATATATTTCAGTGTCTCTACACAATGTTTAATGGTCTAATCAGAGTAACTGGCACATCCACCAGCTCATTTCCTTGTGCCAAGAACATATAAAATCTTACTAGTTGTTTCATAATTCTCAGTGAATTGTTGGCCATAGTTGTCTTTCTGTGTAACTGTGCATTGGAAATTATTTCCTCTGCCCAGCTGCTCTTTTGCATTCATTAGGCATCTTTGATCTGCCCTATTGTTCCAAATGTTACTATTCACAACTCCACTCTTTAATTCTATGCAAGCAACTTAATAAGATTGCTACCACATACTAGTGAAAATGTGTTAACTCATCTCTCTGTACCTATCTTATTTCATTTAAAATAATATAATAATATGCAGGCTTATCCAGGATGCCAAAAAATGTCACAATTTCATTCTTCAGTGGTTGAGTAATCGACCGCTGTATAATCAACCATTGTACACACACACAGACACACAGATACACAGGCACACACACACAGGCACACAAACATATGTAGATAGGTAAGTAGGTAGATAGATGGTAGATAGATAGATAGATAAATGATAAGTAGATAGAGATAGATAGATAGATGATGATAGATAGATAAATGATAGGTAGATAGAGATAGATAGATGATGATAGGTGATAGATAGATAGATAAATGATAGGTAGGTAGAGATAGATAGATGATAGATAGATGATAGATGATAGATAGATAGATAGATAGATAGATAGATAGACAGATATAAAGTAACTGCCGTAGTTGGAGCCCCATCTACTGTATAGACATAAACATTGCTGGAAGACATGAGAGCCACAGGAGGGGGATGATGTTGCCTATCACTTTGGATCTGGAGTGCTTCTCTTGGCTATCTTAGCTGCATTGCTGGGCTAAGATGAACCCCACTTCCCCTAGCCTGTGACTTTTCCTTAAAGACCATGTTCCACACACCTTCATTACAAGATAGAGAGAAATCAAGCTGAAACTAAGCTGGAAGCTTCCTCCACGCTAGCTAGTTTCCATAGTCCCAGAAGTCATAACTCAGGCAAATGGGGGAGAAAAGACATCAACATTCTTAATCAGCTGTGAACCCTATGAACTACAGTGCCAACCTGCCAGGCAAGATCTGCCCACTGGGACATGGCAGTGATGGAGTAACTTGTAGCCTCTAACTGGATTTAAGGCCTATTCCACAGGTGGTAATTCATGTCTGGTACTATAAACCCAGTGAAAAATCCATGGTTAAGGAGCTTTTTGGCCCTAGAGAAACTTAATGTTGTTGTGTAGGTAAACTGATATGGTCCCAAATTGCCTTGTAAATATTTACATTTGTACTTACAGATGAATGCTCTCAGCCTTAACAAGAGAACTTGGTTTTCAATGAATTTCTAGGTCATTAGGTGTCTTCTTTGACCTGCCACCACCAATCTTATTTCACAAAGTCAAAGCGAGTATCAAAAGTTTACTTCAATGTTCCTTTGGGTCCCACAAACCCACAGAGACCAACTGTTCCTGAAACATCTGTCTATCAGCTCATTCTGCTTTGAACCCAGGAAAATCTGGGTCTCTTGGTTGTATTATCTGTTATCCAAACAAAGCCCTGGCCTGGATGGATCTACCTGAAAATTACACCAGACCATTAAAATACAGCTAAAACCAATGCTTCTCAAACTATTCCACAAAATAGAAGAGGAAAGAAAGACCCCAAATTATCTTTCAAAGCCTGCATAATACATACCTAAACCACATAATGATACATAATACAAAAAGAAAGTTATAGAACAATCTCCCTGTTGAATATAGGTGCAAAAAAATCAAGAAAATACTTGAAAACCAAAGAAAGAAAATATTTTAAAAAATTCATCCCCCAGGATCACACCAGCTTCATTTTGGAGATGCAGGGATGGTTCAATTTATGTAAATCAATAAATGTAATCTACCACATAAACAGACTCAAGGACAGAAACCACATGATCACCTCATTACATTCTGAAAAAGCCTTTGACAAAATCCATCATTCTTTCACGATAAAAGTCCTGGAGAATCTAGAGATACAGAGGACATCTATAGCAGAGGCAATATACAACAAATCTACAGACAACATCATGTTAAGTGGAGAAAAAGTTGAAGAATTCTCACTAAAATCACAGGGGGGGGGCACTCTCTTCTTCATGTTCAATATGGTGCTGGAAATCTTAGCTACAGCAGCAAGGCTCATGAAGCAGACAGTGAGGAAAGGAAGTCAAAGGATCCTTACTTGCAGATGATGTGATTCTATACATCAGCCACTACAGATTCCACAACAAAACCCCCACAGCTGATAAGCACTTTCCGCAAAGTGGCAGGATACATCATTAATACACAAAAAATCAGTAGCCTTCCATTAAGAATTAACAACACACTGAGAAAGAAGTCAGGGAAACAATCTCATTAATAATAGCCTCCTTTATGAAAATAGTTTGGAATAAATTTAACCAAGGAATTGAAAGACTTGTACAATGAAACTTCATGATGCCAAGAAAAGAAAAGAGAAAAAGAAAAGGAAAGGGAAGGGAAGGAAAGGAAGGAAATTTGGAAAAACAGTAGAATGTGGAGCAACCTCTCATTCTTATGCATTACTAATGTTCATGTTGTGAAAAAGGCCATTCCACCAAAAGTAATCTATAAATTCAATGTAATGCCCATAAAATTCCAATGCGATTCTTTACAGAAACTGAAAGTACAGTCTTAAAATTCATCTGGAAACACACAAGACCTCATACAGCCAAACAATGAAAAACACTACTTGGAGGTATCACCATCCCTAATTTCAAGTTACACTATAGAGCCATACTAATAACAGGATAGTACTTGCATAA